TATGCATTGCCTGTGCTTCTATAATCCTTTTATGTTTTCAAAATTTTATTAGACAACTGCCTTCTCTTTGACACCTGAAATAGAATTTCCTAACTGATTTAACCTCAGTATTATTTTATTATAGGGGTATTTTGAGAACCAAATCAAAAGAACACTAGAGTGCAAGTGTTATAGATCATGTCCTAGTTATTATTTTTTAAATAGGTAACATTTCCATGTTTAGCTTACACTATAAAATTGATTATATATATTTGTATATAACTACATATATATACACATATATAATTATAAATTATTATGCAGTGAGGTTTCCTTTTCACGTCTCCCATTCCTCTCCTCATACACACCAATGCCTTTGGTTTCTTGTTTATTCTTCCAGTTACTTTACTGACATACCTATAACCACAAATGTATTAATATATATTGCCCCCATTCTTTTTTCATACAATCAAGTGAATATATTTAAAATAAAACAGATCATCAAATTTTTGGTAAACAAAATTTAATACAACCATATAGTCAAGTAATAACGGTTAAAAGACATTTTATTAGACACAAGTTTTAAAAAAGTAAAGATAACTATGCACAGAGTATATTTAAACAAAACATTTAAGTTAATGTGTTACAAATTGAATTGGGAACAAGTACAAAGCATTTTCTTTTTAACTGTGAAAACTCTGGAGACTAATTGAAAGCCAATGACATTTGGCAGCCAAGGGTCTATGTAAGTTGTAAAACAGTATACTTTTGTTTAACTCTGTAACTGTTATTTTAGCTCCAGAAACTCAACAAAAATTTAAATAAAGAAGCTGCAAGGAAGGGTGTTGGGAAAGAGTAAGAACTTTTTCAAGAAAGTTAAATTAAAAAAAATAGTACATACAAATAGAACAAAGTAAGTACATTTACTTTTTTGATATCAGATGTAGATATGGCAAACGATGGTTACAATGTAAGATAGGTGTTTTTCTCAGTATCTTAAAAAGCACCTTGGTATCAAAAACAAACCAAACATTGTAATAAAACTCCAAACACCCAACAACCTCTCTTAGCATTCTCATTCCGCCAAGCAACCACATGGTTGGTGCTCATTAAAAAGTTTAAGAAGAGAATTTTATTTACTCTAAATAGAGTATTTAGATCAGAAAAAAAGTTGAAATAGCACTAGAGAACTTAAGGCACATAAATTCAGATGATGTCTTTTTGAAAACATTGAAACAAATTCTTTGGAACAATATATAAAATAAGTTATGACAATTGCTATTTTAAAAAATTATGATGATCATCTTTAGCACTAAGTAAATTTAATATCTAAGGCAATCACACAAATGTAAAACATTCATATAAAACATTTAAAAATGTTTGAAGTTTGTTGCAAGTGTCTCTGGAATTATCAGTTCACACTCCTGGCTCAAGTGGTTTCTGGTGCCTGAGACTGGATGTGACAATATGTATAGTTCGCTAGTCAAACCTACTGCTTCAAAGGTCAACCAAATTGCCCCATTCTGGTTACTCGGTATGGTGAGATTGTTTAACTAAAGAATAATGGGCTGAGGTGATGTAAACCTGGCTTTCAATATAATGCACAACAAATCCTAATAAGGCCAAAATTACATTGAGGTTTACTGGTGTCTTGAGTTTAGTAAAATAAGGCAATCCATAGGAAGCCTTCAAGAGACATTATCTGATCACTTCACACCATGTAGCAATCTCTCTTCTTTGAAAATCAGTCTAGAGTAGAAAGATGTCTTTTCCACACATTAAGTCTCAAGACACAAAATGCACACACAAACAATTCAACCCTGCTCTTTTCATGATGGGTTCTCACAGCAGTTCTTAAAAAAAAAAAAAAAAAAAAATCAAAAAAAAATCTATTGTCATGTCCAGACAACAGGAAAAAAAAAAATACCTGGTTTGCATAGTGACAAAAGTTGTATATTTGAACCTTTGTCTTTCCTGAGTTTCAAAAGGGTATTTGACAGTAGAGATACATAAATAGTTCATATTCACTAAGAGAAAAATGTTTCAGTCCATAAAACATTTTCATCTTTCTAAATATAGAAGAATGAATGTTCAAACACCTTCATGTGTGAAGCCCCTTTATCAAATTAAATTTACTCTAGAATCATAACTGAAGTTTTAGTTATGGCACTTTAAACACCCCCAATAGGCAAAATGTTAATACCCTCCCTGAGTATTTACATCATTTTCCCTTAACACCTGGTTTAAATGGAGTAAAGAGCTATATTTCAGTCATTTAGGAAAAAAGGTTACTGAAAATCCAATAGGCTACCATATTCATACCTGTGCAGTAAAGTGAGTTGAAGATTAGAGTAGGAAACGAAGGTCTTCTGTTGTAAAAATCAATTTATAGATCACTCACATATAGGAAAACCTGAAGGATTTAAGTTCACAGGAAAAAAGGTACTTTTCTGTTGATCCACAAAATATGCTCTTGAATTTCCTTCCACTGAGGTATCACAGTTGGGTTTATTTAGCAAACTCATGTCTACTTCCAATTTGTTTTCTGATCTTATAAAACTGTATGTACTATATAGAGTCTGACTGTATACAAGTCATCATACTAATAATACTCATCATGTACTTTCAAGCATAAAAAAAAATTCTAGAAATGCCCAAATAAAAACACCTTCTGGAACGGAATTTAATAAGGTCTATGAATGTTTACTTAATGTGCTTCTCTCTGATCATCACAAACTGATAAAATTCTTGGTGTTTGTATGTATGTGTACATGACCATACTATGTATCTACATATATCTATATGTACATGACACAAAAGGCTTATATGAACATGACCTATCAAAAGAAAATCTGTCAACTGTATGGTGGTGACAGTATGGATATACTCTAACACCAATTTCATTGATATATCTCTTTTGATATACTAGTTATATGCTAAAATTATTTTATCAAGGCTAAAATTTATTTATCAAAAATCAGTAAAGGAAGATAATGAAATTAAAATACCAGTTGGGTAACTTTAAAAAGTTACTTTAGTTTCCTAGGATTCAAGGTAAGTTCATGGTGGCCTGCTTAATTTATGCAGTTTTAAATTAGGTAGAGGAAAAAGAATTAAGCAATATTGGTACAAGGTCTATGTTTAAACAAAACTCTTTTATAGAATTTCAACTCAAATTTACTACAATAAACACATAGATAAATGTATACTAAAATACAAGTAGATAGTTAATAGTTTACAACAACAAAATACAAGAATACAAGTTATCTTAACAAAGTTTTTTTTTTGTGTGATGTCTGTATTTATGGATGAGCATGATCTTACAGATACACATGAAAATAACAAGTATCATTTGCATAATTCTCAGCATTACAAAACACTATACTTATACATAATCTCATTTACTGCAAAGAATTTCTGAACTAAATATGTTCCATTATCTACAAAAAGTATAATGCAGAAGTAGATGTTTACTTTAAAGTACAAGTATCCCAATATACCTTTCAACGAAAATGAGAAAAGATTGTTTCCTGAAGTGTTCTGGTAACTGTCACAAAAATGTATCCGTACCCTTTTAAATTATGATTTCAAAAAAAACCTCCCCAAAACTTTGTAAGATTTCCAAAGTTTTCCTCAGCATTCAGATTCCAGATAAGCATTAAAGTTGATTCTGTATGTTTTTCTTAAAATCTCTGCATCACTCTAAGATGAGGAAAAAAAGTAATTCACCAATGTTAGGTCTTCTGTTCAATCACTTTGGTTTAAACAGAAACCTGGTTACATGATAATCAAATATCTGCATCATCTCTATTATGACAAGAAGTATACAATTATAATGTGAGACAACAACAGTGCCTGGGAAATAGAAATGTAGGCTACCTAGAACATCCTTAAAATGTGAACTCTCTCTGTCCACCCAGGAATAACAATAACCACGTATGCTGTAGTTACTGCCATCTCATTTGCCTTAAAAAGAATTTTTACATTACTCTCTGAAAACTAGTAAACTTTATAAACTGGAACTGAAAAATCTAGACAAAGGTAATTTGCTGATAGAAGCTTGAGAATAATGATCAATAGTTTACATAATGGATATCAAATGAAAGATTTATCTTAGAAGACTATTATAACTACTGCTGTTGAGTTTTTTTTTTTAGATAGCTATATCTTTTAAAAAGAAAAATGGACCCACTGAGATATGTGGTCCCTGCTTTATCCTTTAAAGGCAACCTAACAGTAAAGACTCCCAGAATTTTCAGCTGTTCACAAGAAAGGAGGATAACCAGGAAAAAGATCCTCACCCAAAGCACCACATTTATGAGCTCAAATCCTATTGGGCTAGGGAGAAAATCTGTCCCTGTTTTTCATAAGATAATATTACAAAATGGATTTAACTCCTTAGCTAGGTTCAAGACAAGGAGCTTTCCTATATAATTTAGAGATGATACGTAAATACTTTGAGAGCCACAACAGGTTATTTTTCCTTCAATGGTGTTAGATAGTTATTTCTTAAGAACTAATCTAAAATTTTAATCCTCATTTCAAGGGCACTTGCTATTTATAGCTCCTACCCAATCTCCTCCCCAAAAAATGTTTAATGTAAGACAGCAATTCAAAGAAGTCATAAAAATCCAGTGTTTTATGATACTCAAATTGTTGTCATTATAATTTTATCAATTATAGAAATAACCTTCAATAAAATTAATCAGTTTGTACATATTTTTAATGAGAAATATTTTTTAAACTGATTTTTCATTTTAGGATGCATACTAAGCTTTTTAAGATTCAACCTAAATGAAGCCTTAAATCATGTAATTTTCTATATACATATGAGAAAATAAGGAATATACAGTCTTGCAGAGATACACATACATATATAAAGAGACCATTCACATATTCCTAAAAGGTATGCAGGGAGACATTACTTCCGATGCCACATAGGTTTTTTTTTAACAAATACTTACAAAGGTACACTCTCAAAGCCCAAGCAACAACCACTATCACCTTCAATGAACAAACTATTTTTTCAAATACAATAAAGGCTTTATTACCATTTAAAAGATTGATATTTTGGGGAGAAAGGCACCACAATTATTATTTTTATTTTATTTTATTTTTTTGTGCCTATAGCACAAAGGAGATAAGTCAAGTTCCCACTCTGGAGTTTCAAAAACCTCTCCATCTTGGATTGGTGCGGCTTCTTGGGTGAGGTATCCTGGTTTTAGAGCTTAAAGAATTTCTCATTATATCTATGAATAGTCACACAGCCATGATAGGACACTGGCCTGGGCATTGCAGCTACCCCCGTGATGATACTCGTCGAGGGATCATAACAGAGAATAGTGTCTGTTGCATCTCCATTTTCCCGTCTTCCACCCAGGATGTATATTTTACCATTACACACAGACATACCACAGTTTTCCTGTTTAACCAAATAGATAAAAAAAAATAATTAACTGTTGAAGGTAAGGGATTTGGTAGCAAACTGAAAAGTAAAATGAGACATACTATAATACAGTCAAAAAAAAAAGAGACAGGAAATAAGCTCCCCTTTGGTGGACTGAGAGAAAGGTTTTAATAATGATTGTTACACAAAAACATTTTTGAGAGCTTGACTTGCTTCTCCCATTAAGGAAGGTCCTTTATTATAGAGAATGGCTATTACATGACCACAAAGCAGGACATGATTCATTATATGGAATTACCCATATTCATTTTATTGAAATACCCATATGGAATGAATGGAAGAACTATAATCAAATTAACAAAGCACTGTTATTAGGGACTTTGGCTGGGTCATAGAAACACCATAAATAACATTTTACAGTTACTTTTCCACATGGTGGGATTCTTCTCTGTCAATAATATAATATAATACTATACAAGACAAATATTCTTGCAAGGATAAAGTGATTCTTTAAAGAAAAAAAGGATACTAAAATTGTCTCACTATTATATGCATCTGGTTAGTTATTCTGCAGGTCAAATATTCTTTTATTTATAGTTTACTTTAATTCAGAAACTTACTGCATATTATTATCCTGGATCCTTATAGCCAATAATGAGATGGGTTTACCAATAAGTACAATAAGCATTTTTACTTGATTAGATTTGCTATATATAATTTTTGCTTTTTTAGAAGAAATTAAATCTTGATGAATTGATGTAATGGAATTTGGTATCTTCAGAGGTTTACAACAATTAGTGAGCACTTAAGATGCCTGTATATATTAAGAGTCTGTATATATCCAGAATGACCTGGCTCTGACAAACTTCTCCGTAATATCACCCATGAATAGTACCAATTATGGGCCAAACAATAACATTTTTCATCTAAAGCACAATCAATTTTTTAAAATAAATTCCAAAAGTTCTGAATACAAAAAAAGTACCCTTAGCTTTTAGGCACAAGCTAGCTCACACTGTTAAACCTTAAAGTCAGTCACACTGATGCTGGTAATAATGCTCAGAATTAAATGAAGTAAGCAATCTTGAAAATGGTTATTTATTCATTAGGAAGTGACTTTGCTAGATATAGTTTACTGTACTCTATGACTCTCAAGAGTGATGGCACTAGTAAGAAAAATAATTGATCAATACATGAAGCTTTAATGTTTTTTTTCAAGACTGAAATGAAGCACTGAAATATCACAAAAAATACCACTTCCCTTAACTCTTACTTTTATAATGCTTTAGGTTTACATATTAAAATGCCACCAATAAATAAAAAGAATCAAGTTTCTTTACATTTATTATTCTTAACTTTAATGACATTTTAAATACCTTGTCTGGTGCCGAAGTAATAAAAATGCTTCATCATTGACTTTTTAAAAAACCACAGAATTATCAATATTCTAAGCATTTAAAAGACAGCTTTGGATTCAAATAACTAAATATTTGATTTATCATTGATCAGCATTAAAAGGGCAAGTGCAGACAGTTCAAAAACTGTCATTAATAATGCATACATAGATACACTCAGAGATACTATATAAGTACAGAGCAAGGGAGTAAGGTAATTCTAAAAATTTCAGTACTTTTGCTTTAAAACATTTAATATAGATTTGAATATAAATTATTTGTCTTTGTTATAATAGATTTGATATGCTATAAATATTTTTCTCTGAAATTTTAAAAGTCAGTTACTCATTGACTGCATTAAATGTGTCATGTTGGCGGCGAGGAGACGCTGCGAGTAAGATCTCCCATTAAAAAAAGTTAATAGGGAGGAAAAGCGGCAGGTCCCAGTGAGAACTGGGACACGGAAGATAAACGGACGACTCCAGCAAACTGCCCGAAGAAGAAAGTGGCCATAAAAGAGGACTAGAAGGGAGGGAAGCGCAGAACCCTGCTCCCCTCCCCCGCCCACAGAGGCGGCACTCTCCGACCGGCAGAGGGGAGGAAACAACAAACCAAAACGGCCAACAAGAAAAACGGACACAGCAAGCGGGACTGTGAGTGGAAAGGAACTATTGCAGCCACCACACCCAGTGAACGGGAGCTGAGGCGAACCCTGCAGGATCCGCCGCGGAGGTGAGCTCCAGGCGCCATTAAAGAGAGCCCCGCCCCCCAGGAGGAGAACAGCACCAGCACACAGCCCCGGCCGCCCGGTAAGCTTGCGCGGAAAGTGGCGCGGATCCAGACCGGATCGCAGCTGCCCAGGTCCCCGCGCCTGCGACCTAGGCTTGCGGGGAGACGGCGGAGGCCCTCCCAGAGTGAGCAGGAACAAGGCGCCCAGACAGGGGAGCGGGATTCAAAAGGCGCCATTCCCGCGCCACTGATCTGGGCTACAGCCTGAGTCCTGGAACTGAGGGCTTTGGAACTGAGACCCGGGGCACGAAATTTCGGGGCGTGGGTTCCCCACGACGGTGGGGCACAAGGCAGACACAGCACCCCAAAGCCGTTGAGGTGTACCCTACCATCCCCGCTCTGCTCCCTGTCCCACGGGGTGGAAAATCAGCTCCCCAAGGGCTCTAGGAGAGATCTCTGGCGCCACCTAGCGACTTGACCCCAGCACAGGCTACTGAAGGAGCTAGTGGCCAGCTGGGGAGTGAGCCCACACCTGGCTCCTTCCGAACAAGTAGTCTGAGCCCACAGGGAGAGCAAGCACCCACAGCCGGGGCAGACCAGGCGCGCAGAAGAGTGTGCCTGAGACCAGACGCGCAGGGAGTGTGTCCCACATCACCATTTTAGAACAGGGACATTTCTTCAGTAAAGACTACCTGCAGAAGGCTTCCTCAGGAGCCAGAGGTGAGCGGGGGAAGTTCGCCCACGCCAGACCCCCTCTGGCCTGCAGTCCAAGCCCAGAGGGGAGCAGGAACCCACCGCCGGGGCAGACCAGTCGCACAGGGGAGTGTGTCCCCACATCGGCATTTTAGAACAGGGACCTTTCTCCATTAAAGGCTGCTTGAAACTGACAGATGACTCCTGGAAGAACCAGAGGGGAACAGAGAAGCCCACCCAAGATGCCGGCCAGTCCCAACAACACAGTGTCCCAACGCATACGGCAAATTAGAAAACAGACAGTAGGGAGGAGAAGAACCACACGCAACCTAGCAACTCTCCAGAGAAAAAGCACACCACAAAAAGAAAGCCAGCCCCCAGATTGCAAAGACAATAACTTGGAAGAATTTCTGAGCCTTCCAGAAAGAGAATTTAAAATTGCCGTGATTAAAAAACTGACAGAAGTCATAAAGGAAAACAATGATAAGGGAAAAATAATCAACGATCAGAAGAATGCAATTGAGTCCCTAGAGAGGGAAAACAATGGTCAGAAGAAAGAAATTGAGTCCCTAAAGAGGGAAGTAAAAGAAATGCAGGAGATCAAAGAATTAATGGAAGAACTAAAGAATTCTGGGAAAAGCAATGAAAGCAGAATAGATGAAATGGAAGAACGAATAAGTAATCTTGAAGACACAGAAATAAAAAGAACCAAAACAGAAAAGGAAAGAGAAGTACGAAGGAAAAAGAACGAAGAAAGACTTCGGGAACTATCTGACTCCATGAGGAAAGGAAATATAAGAGTTATAGGAATACCAGAAGGAGAGGAGAGAGATGTAGGAACAGAGAAAATATTCAAAGAGATAATTGAAGAGAACTTCCCAAATGTGAAGAAGGAGCTGAAAATTGATATACAAGAAGCAAGAAGAACACCAAACTTCCACGACGAAAGGAAAAATACAGCAAGACACATAATAGTAAAGCTCCCAAGAATCCAGGACAAGGAAAAAATAATGAAGCTGGCAAGAGGGAAGAAACAGATAACATTCAAAGGAAAACCAATCAGGCTGACATCAGACTTCTCCGAAGAAACACTACGGGCAAGGAGAGAGTGGAGGGACATAGTCAACAGACTCCAAGAAAACAGATGCCAACCAAGAATACTCTATCCCGCAAAGCTCTCCTTCCTCTTTGAAGAAAGAATATGGACCTTCCCAGACAAACAGAAACTCCGGAATTTCATTGCAACTAAACCCCCACTCCAAAAAATACTACAAGGAGTCCTAAAGCCAGAACCTCAGAGGGACGAATAACAATGAAAGAAGGCCAAAAAAAAAAAAAGTTATTAAAAGAATAAATAAATAAAATCAAAGGAAAGACAAACACAATGGCAAATACAGATGTTAACATATCGATATTAACTCTAAATGTAAATGGACTAAACTCTTCAATAAAAAGACACAGAGTGGCAGCCTGGATTAAGAAACAAAACCCAACCTTTTGCTGTCTCCAGGAAACACATTTAGCTACAAAAGATAAAAATAGGCTCAAAGTTAAAGGATGGAAAACAATCCTACAAGCAAATGGACCAAAAAAGAAAGCAGGAACAGCTATACTTATATCAGATAAAACAGATTTCAAACTCAAAAAGATAAAAAGAGACCCCAATGGTCACTACATTATGATCAAGGGGACAATACTTCAAGAAGAAATAACACTCATTAACATATACTCACCCAACGAAGGAGCACCAAAATATATCAGACAACTGTTGTCCTCTCTGAAAACAGACATCAGAGAAAACACATACGTAGTGGGAGACTTCAACACACCACTATCAACAATGGATAGATCAACAAGACAAAAAATAAGTAAAGAAACCAAAGCTCTAAATAAGGACCTAGAGCAATTGGGCTTAACAGACATCTATAGAACACTAAACCCCAAAAAACGGAGTACACATTTTTCTCAAGCGCACACGGATCATTCTCCAGGATCGATCACATACTGGGGCACAAGACAAACATCAACAGATACACCAAGATTGAAATCATATCAACCATCTTTTCTGACCATGAAGGCATCAAACTAGAAATAAACCATAAAAAGAAGGCAAGGAACTTTCCTACCTCATGGAGATTAAAAACCACACTACTGGAAGACCATTGGACTAATGAGGAGATCAAAGAAGAAATTAAAAAA